CCCACCTTTTCACCCCCCAGCCCCCCCAAGTCCCTCTTGGCAGGGCTGCTCTCCATCCCTCCATCCCCCAGCCTGTATGGATACCGGGGGTTACCCCGACCCAGGTGCAGGACCTTGCACTTGGCCTTGTTGAACCTCATGAGGTTCACACATCATATAGGTCAAGTGTTATTTTTTTCAGAATAAACAAAATCAAATGTGATTTCAGCAAAGGGAATACATTTTACTAAGAAAATAGAAGACCAGAACACATTTCAATAGAGTTACAATATTATAAAGGAGAAAAAAACCCCAAACAACCCAATCAGTTCACATTTAAATACAATTTTAGTATTCAGCTGAGCAATGACCCAACCCCATACCATTAGGGTAGAACTGTTCTTCTCACAAGCACTCCAGTACTTCTGTTTATTTGGGTAAGGTAGATATGTTTAAGATGGAAATAAATGCAAATGATTTTGCCATTTTATTTCTCAACAAACTGGCCATCTGACTACGTCTGCGCAATCCTAAAAGTATTTTTATTTCCATGAGGAAGGAACTGCTTAAAGGATGGGTAAGTCAAAGTCAAAGGTAGTGGGAGAGTTCAGTACAATCCAGCGCCTGCTTCGTGGAATATAAGGGAATATAAACGCACACCATCAGGTTCCTGCCCCGCAAGCGAGACGTCCGATGCGAGACAGCTTTTCACAGTCCACCGTGCCACCAGGTACCGGACTCCCCGTGTGCCATCTACCTGTTCACAAATGTTCCTCCGGAGAAGGCACGAATAAGCTGCATCCTCACCGAGTGCCGCCATTTGGTAAGCGGGAGGTCTAAAGCGTGCTGAATTTTCCTCACGGTTCACCCAGAACAGCTGCAGGCTTTCTGATAGCATGGTAATGCGTATTTCGGGAGCAGGTAGGTAGGTAGGTCAGGGTAGATCCACCCAGAATTAGGTGTCCCTTCACCAGTGGCAACTGCATTACATTGCTCAAGTCCAGCCGCCAAGCGAGCGCAATTAGAGCTTTGCTCTACATTTTCTCCTTGCTCTAGTATTCAATGTAACACCAGTCCCTGCCTCTTACCTACGGCTGTTATGAAACAGGATAGCAGTACGCGTCATCTTAAAAAGAATCCCAAAACGACAGTGGTTTTCTTAAACTCAGGAGCAGCACTTAGAGCTGAGAGAGAACGGGAGTCCAAACTGAACTGTTCTTACAGTCCGATCTCCAGAGTTTCGTAGACACCTTTATCCAAATTACAGAGATGCTCGAATCTGCACCTCTGAAGTCAAGAAGCCCCAGGGCAAATGAAAAAAAACAACTTCAATTTCCTTTGGCCCAGAGTCAGCTGAACTAAAATTCAGGGTTGTAGCTGTACAACAGTGATCCCCACGCTCCTAGAGGAGTAGTCACTAAATAGGGCCGCTAACGAAAAACTAAAAGGTGTTGTTATCATGTCTCTTTACAGTTGCTACCAGAGGAGTGTGACAAAGGGTTACTTTACCCCCTCCTGCAGAACAGCGTGCTGGAGAAAAAAAAACCAAAAAAACAGTACAAAGACATGCACCTACCACAGGAAACCTGTTAAACACCGATCCACATGTGAATTGTCGTTGTGTTTCAGGCTTGGAAAACAAAACACAACGTCATGAGACATCACTGTTCACAAACATGACCAAGAACGTATGTGACGCGTCACATTTGGGTTTTAAAATATAGCAGATACTACATTTTAATAGTCTTCCTCTGCGCATCAGTTGTTGGCAGGCAGGCATACGCTTCAGGAACGCAGAAACCCTTGCAACATCTTTGAACCAGAACACACATATTTCATGAAAAAAGGCTGCGCTGCCTTAGCTCCCTTTCTTCTCTCCCCCCTAGGTATATACGTTGCTGCCAAGAGGCTCAGTCCTGCTCCTGTGGATTTTCAGGAAGTAAGTCTTGGACCAGACCCGGAAAAGACTGAGCTACTGACCTCAGGGGGTTCTGATCCTCTCAGAAGTGTTCTGTACATCCAGAATAGGATCCTCACAGAAGAGACATGAAAGACAGGCTTCTATACCATTCGGAGGGCAAAAGTCACCCGGGCTGTGTGACGAGCTACAGCAGTAATTCATCCTTTAGGTGATGTATTTTTTTTTTTAAAAGAACAGTATTAAGCTTAACTTACGCTATGCAGCATTACAAAATGCATCCTGGTTCCCTTTGCGTACTGCGGAAGAGAATTTTCTGCGCGGATAAAAGGTCGGTAAATGCTTTTGAATAAGCCAGCAAATAGAAAAAAAAATCAGGTTAAGCAGAATACAAAAAAGGATAGTGTGGTTCCTTACCAAGCGGCAAGATTAGCAGTTGTAATTAATTCTAAGATTAATTAGATCTGACGAATACACAAAACCGAAGATGAATTGACATATTAAAAACCAAAATAATCTGAAAAAGATGAAAGGGAGTGAAATGCACTTAAAACTGTATGAGCTGGCATGTTACCGGTTGCTAATGGAAAACAACAGCTATACGTTAAAGCTAAAATTCTGCCATGTCTATATTACAAGCTATAGATGATCCACGGAACCTGATTAAATACCGTCCACGGGTGCATATGCATAGATAAAGTCTAACTGGTACCACTTAGCTGCCGTAACTGGGACAGGTGAGGGAGAGACAGTCAGGCCTTCGCTGCTCTGGAGCTCCGGCGCCTCTGCAGCCCCCTCAGGGCAGTAGCTGGGGGCTCCGAGTCGGTTAAAGACTCTTTTTCCTCACCTGTGCAGTGGGATTTCCTGCAGAATTATGCAGGAACATCGGTACTTGGGAAAATCCCACTGCTGGCCAATTCTGAATAATCCCTCTTGCAATCTGCTTAAAGACAGGAGGGGAGCCCGTGCCAGGAAGGGAAAGGACTGCACTTGGCAAAACGGGCATCTTCCCTCGGCTTGACAGCAGCCACTGCAGATTTCCTGGGCGGTAGCTCCCTTTGGGAACCGAAACAACTCTTGCCCAAAGCAAGACCCCTGCTGCGTGCAGGTTTTTCCTATTTCCCCAAGCGCCAGGTTTTCCTGAGTACTATCAATGCCCGCTGATTACGAACCATGACTGCACTTCTTGCCTGGGGGGGAAAAAAAAAAAAAAAAAAAAAAATCAGACTGAATGGATGGATGCAGATCTTTATTTTGTAAGACAGAGTTATATTTACGGACCGATTGCCCTGCCTCTGTGATCATTCTCAGCTGGGACACAAGATCAGTGCAAGGGGTTATTTTTGTTACTCGTCTGCCTAATTAGTACGCTGGCAGAAACGAGGAAGTGTGCGTTCCCAATACACTCGAATCCAATGATGCAGAACTCCACTGACGCAGCACTGCAACAAGCTTCAGCTAGAGTTGGATTTTCAGAAGGTAAAAATAATTTGTACACTAAATAAATAATTTCAGTAAGATCACAAATTTAAATACAATAAAAACCAGGCATAGCAAAAATAGATGAAAAAAAGCATTCTTTGTAAAAACATCATAGGTGTGTGTTGGTCTTTTTTTGTACATATACTTACATATACAAGTTGCAAACCATGTACGTCGCCCAACCTGGCAATGCAGCATTTCCAGCCCCACCAGGCAGCACTTTACCACAGTTTGAATACACAGGCTTTTCCCCACATCGCTATTTTCTGTCTTTACATAATCAGTCTTCTCTCCTCACTCAGGTAAAGCCTTCCCAAAAGTTTACTGTCCTTTTTATCTCATACAGGAACATAATTTTAAAAATCAGAGACGAGGCAGTCAGTGACAAGGACTGTGTCCAAGGGGGTGCAGAGACTATTTTCCCTGTTCTGTTTTGGACCTCTGCTGCGGAGACTGCATTTTCCAATATAAATGAGGATATGAGAGAGGTGCTTGCCACAGGTAAATCTTAAGCAAGCTTTACTTCATCTCTTTGGATTCCGGCTTCAAGTTTGGCAGCATAACCCTTTTACACTTATCTATTTATTTATTTTTGTCCTTTTTTGCCTTCATGCAGCAAACTATGGAGCAGCACCTTAGCTTTATTTCTGTTCCTGACACACCACTGTTGTTACAGAGACCGGATTCAGAGAAATCACAAGACTTGTATAACTATTGCTGTGTGTCCTTGCCTGCTCATACAAAGCAATGGAGGGCACTCAAGCCTGATCTGAACAAAATGAACAGGAATGCACTGTATCAAGTGTGCAGTACTACTCATTGCAATGGAAAATTCAACTCGCAGTTGGTTTTTTTTACACAAAAAAACCCTGACAAATTAAACCTGTATACGGAGAGAGGAAGATGAAGTGATCACCTTCGAGCATGAGATCTTTCGAGGCCTGTATTCAAACTGGACTGAATATACCGCACTGAGACCACAAGAAACGTTCAAACTTCTGTAAATGTGCGTGTCAACAGCTGCCTGTCACACTTTCTGTTTCAGCTTCATCAGCTGCCTGTGGGAGGTTTGTTCCAAGTGGCAGGTGAGTCCACTTAGGAGTTTTTGAGTCAGCGTTGTCATGAAAGCATCACACACAAGTCTTTTTGTGAGAAAAAAGGTAGGCAAGGGAGAAAACAATTTAGCTTAGAAGAAACAGAACCTTGAGAAAATTAACAAATGAAATAAAAATCCTTTGGTGCATCACCTTGGAGTCCACTGTAGGAAATCTCCTTGTAAAAATCTCTAAAAGATTTCCGTAAATGACTTCAGATCCTGCCTTTACATGATAGCATTTATTACACAACAACATAGCTTTGTTTTTAAAAGCTATTAAGTGATTAATACTATTTTCAGGCTTTCCAAGGATAATTTTAACTAGTTCACATTTTTCCTGGAAGCAGATTTCACGCAACAGTGGAAACACAAAATACAAACATTGCTGCAGATTCCACATGTGCACACCGCGCTGCTCCTCAAAGCACATTCAGAGAACGAGAGCAGCCAATGCCACAAGGAAGTCTGAACAGGGGCATCTTTAAACATCAGACAAAACAGAAAGCCCGTTAGACTGTTAAATTTGTCTTAAACTATCCATTTTTTTTTTTTTCTTTTGACAAATGCTCTCTGGTGAAGTCACAGATAACGCCGTGTGACAACACCAGGGCAATTAGAAGACTGATTATTAAAAACAGAAAGAAAATGTTCTGGAAATCAGCAGTGATGAACGCACTATAGTTCATCATCAACTGCACGTAGCTAAAACATCAGTAATGGAATTCTTTAGTGTGGTGCCGGCTCTAAGCTAGAAATGCAATGTCATTATTTAAATTAATTTTGGAGAGCTCACTCATTCCTGTGAGGGATGCCATCATCCATACAGTTTATCAGGTACTTGGGAGAAATCTACGTCGAGTGAAAAACCGAGTAGAAGGGGGAAAAAAAAAAAAGACAACAAAATGAGCGAAAATAAATTACAGGACTCAAAGATCATGATTAGAATTGGTCTGAAAGAGGGATCCCTGCAGAGTAGAAGATACCGCCCGAGGAGTGCCATCTTCTGATGCATCAGTGAACCTTAGATTCAGGCCAGTCATACACATCTGGCATGAAGGATTCGTATTCGTAGGTCCAAACCTTTGATCGAATGTAACGGTTCTTGTCTGCAGGTTCAGGGTAATGGAAAGCCATGTTGTTTGCGTATAAAAATTCCATAACCTGAAAAGTTAAACCACCAGTTTAACCAGTTTGTGCCTTTTACTACGTTCACATAACATCCACGCTTCTGCTGCAACACGTCTAGGACTCACAAACTGGGGAAAGGCAAACACCAAAGTCTTTTTACAACTCCTGAATGCCCTACCGGGGATCTGAAAAGTTAATTTCAGAGCTCAAAGGAGCATGATGTTGGCCCGTCATCACTGCCAAACTGAAGCATCCAACAAACTCAACATTTTTAGAAGTGGCTCTTTAATTAAAGGCACAAAGAACTGGGTATTTTGTGCCCAAGCACCTAGTGTTCAAGGGCCACGCTGTGCAATTCAGCAGGTTAATGTACACATAAAACACTTTTAGTACAGTCCACTTTGATGCTTCATACTCACCTTGACAGCAATATAAATAGAAACTTCCCTGATATTTGACAGTGGAGGATAAAGTCTTCCCTGTGCAAGTTCCTCATCGGTCAACTGTTCTGTCAATGCCTGAGTTAGAAAAACAAACAGGTTCTATTTACTGCATCCCATATGGGATCAATAACATGCTAAAACACCTGAGAGAAACACGGTGCAGTGTTCTTACTACTAGAGTGGTCCCAAACCACTAGAATAAGGCGGTCAAATATCTCAAAATTCTCAAAGATCAACTCTGTAATCCGGGGCGGCTGTATCAGCAAATTCTCCATTTAGCAAAATAAAATCCTAACCATGAAAATTATGAGCACAACATGCCTGCAGAACTGCCCCTGTGTTTGGCCAGTTGATTCACTGGTAGGTGGTCCTGCTCCAGCACGGAAAAGCAGGAGAGGATAGGAGCCTGGGGGCCACGTGAATCCCTGGCCACACCACCAGCTGTGGAACCCAGAGCGGGATGGGAGGAGGAGGAGGCGGCAGGCCTGCTGCCAGACCTGCGAGGCTGGGAGGCAATTTACACATGGACAAATTTCCTATTTGGGCGTTTGGTTTCTGGATGAAAAAGTTAAAATTGCAATGGAAGCCGATACTTTTCACAATTTCATTTCATCAAAATCCATTTTTTTTTTTTCCCCCCCTATTGGGAAGGGATAAAACCAACAGAAATCAAGCAGGAAACCATCAAGTTTCAGCAAGAGTTGAGAAATTGCCCATCATGGCATCCACCATCATGTCAGAAGCCACAGCCTACTCTGCTTCCACACTTACCTTAGCAGCCTCTAGGAAAACCTTATCACTAATATGTCGAACACTGCTGAGGATCACAGCGAGAGCCACGCCTACAATAAAATTATTGCCAATTAGGGCCACATCGGTTTAAAATATGCAGCCTGCTGCCGAGAAGCTGCCAGTCCTCTAAAATGTTATTTTTAAAAATCTTCCCATAGCTTTCTACACACATTTGTAAAACTATTACCATGTGTGCTAGTTATTTACCGCAATAGGTGGCTTTTGACAAGGGGTCGGCGCTTAGCAGCTCCGGGAGGAAAGGGAGAGAAAGGGGAAGGCAGGGAAATAGCCCTAGTGCTTCTTTTGTACCCTCACTTGTGCAGACGTAACTTCAAGAGGAGTATATTGACATTTATCTTCTCCTCCCCCCCCCAAGCAAGCAGAAGAAACCCATAATGCAGCAGCTTTCTAAGCCTTTAATAACCCCCTTTTGTCTTCTTAGAAAGTTGGGTTCATGTCCCATACGTAGCCTCACATGCCTAACATCCATCCTTAACTAGTTTTCTTTCATTCATTCTCCTGATTAGATTTCTCAGCTTTAAATGCTGGTAATACCTCTTCACTAACTACCTAGTGTAGCAAGGGAACCCAAGAAGAGGTGCTACAGCCTAGTCTTCAAGATTAAAAGACGACAATTTTATTTATTACCTGGAAAAATATAAGCATTGTTTCCTTGGCCTGGTTTGAAGGTTCTCCCATCTTTCAGAGTCACCAGCTCAAAGGGACTGCCACTGGCAAACAAGCAACGGCCCTGTGAAACAGAGGAATAACCACAGTCAGGCAGCTTCTAAAGAGCCAGCAGTATGGAGCAAGACAGTCATTATGAAATACAGGGACACCGGAGTCCTACAGCTCCCAGTCAGCTCCAGGACTGAGTCAGGAAGGTACTCGAGCGTGCAGCCAAATGCAAAAAGGCAAACGGCCCTCCTGACTGCAGCTTGATTCAAGCACACACTTAAATCCTTTGCTGACTCAATTTCTACAGTCCCAGAATGACACCAACCAAACCCGCCCTTTCCAGTAGGGCCTGGAAGAGATACAAGAATTAGTAAGCATCTGCGTGTTTCTGCAGCTGTGGAACATGCAATGTTTCTGCAGCAAACATCTGGAAAGAAGAGAGGCAAGCATACACATTGAATTACGCAGCTTTCTAAGGAATGGAAGCAACCTATTTGTTTTATCCTTCATCGTTCTTTAAAACAGCAAGGACTTAAAGGAACTACTTGCACACAAAATAAAATACTTGTGTGTTAACCATTATTATAACCATAACCATATCTCAGGAACCGTGGCCACAAGCCAGGACTCACCACCGTAGGGACTGTACAAAGACAGCTGAATAATGGCCACTTCCAAAAGGAGACTGAAATAGAAGTACAGTAACAAAAGGTCACTTGTTTCCTGATGGGTGGGAGGGTGACGGGAGGGACTGCTGTATCACACTTCTATTGCCGAGGAGGGAATAATGCAGTTTGCTTATCCTTCCCTTTGACAAGGATTTTAATCAGCACAAAATACTAAAACAAATCCAGTGTTTGGAGTGCGAACTATAGCCTCCAGACAAATGACCCTTTCCTCAAGCAGCAAAGCCCCTGTAAGCAAAAAAAATCTTCACTTTCTTTTGAGTAACAGGTTTAATAACGTTACTTTAAAATATTTAAGGCTCCTCAGGACCACTCCATTTGAGAACAAATTACCAAAGCAGCAAAAGACTCGGGAGCTATGTGTGAATGTTAGGGCATACCCACAACAATAGCCTTGATGTGTAGGGAGCAAAACATATGGATGCATTTGAGGACAGGACCAAAAGACAATGAAAATTAAAACACAAAAGCCCACACGATACACAGTGGCAGAGGGCACTAAAGCACTGTCAGGCTTTTGCAGGTGCCATCTAGTGGAAAAAGAATAAGGAATAAAAGGTTAGTGACGATCTCTTTGTTTCCTTACTGACTTCCTAGTCTAAACCTAAGATTGCACACCAGGGTTAGGCTACTCCCAACGCCAGGAGACACATGGGGCTGACAGCTCTGATCCCTAATTGCCTGACAAACTTTGTTAGTTAAACAACAAAACCAGAGAGGATTTTCTAGGTAATTATTGTGTCTCAAAGGGAAAAAGTATTATACAATTTGAAGGGCAACCTATGGGTAAACTGAGTACACTTCAGAGAACTAAAGAGCATTATGAAAACAAACATTAGATAGGGAGAAAAGTCTCAAGAGCCAGAAACATTACAAAATTTATTAATAAGGACTGGAACAAAATTACACTCGTTCATTTACTGACCAGTACTATTTAATTGTCCAAATAACTCAAGTCTATAAATAATAACTTACAGAAAATCATGAATAAAAGGACATATGGATCCAATATAGGAAAAAACCAAAGATCCTCTCTCCATTTGGCACAAACTTTTTTTATAACAGCACTATGCTCACGCAGCTACTTCAGCGAAGACGTGTTACCACACCTGAATCTAACCAGCACTGCCTTGCTTCTGCATCTGGTAGCGACAACTACCCTGAGGTCCAGCTCCTCGGGACTCAACACGCAGCCATGGGGAACAAGTGAGCCTCTTCCCTTCAAACATCTATTGCTCTGTTGATGTTCTACAAAAAGTGCAAGCAAAAATTAGGCTGATTCTCCCTCTTAATAGCACTGCTGGCCTCCTTCAGCCATCAGAGGTGCCAGTAGTTTTTACATTTATTTAGACCAGCTAAAGGCTTGGCTGTATAACTAACTCATTTACTTTCTGTCCAAGATACTGGAATTAAATTTTATATACTGAAACACAGCCCAACTCATTACTCTGGCTAACGTAAGATATTAAAGCAAGTGATATTAAACCATCTGCATTTAAAAGCACTCTCATTTACCATTAAAGGCTAAGGTCTAGATTTTGTCCAGAGGCTGTTATTCCTGCCTAGGGCTCACTCTGGACCTGCAAAACTCTGTAGGAAGAGTTCCCTCTGAGCTGATGGGCCCAGTGACATGGAAGAGAATCTGGGAACCAACTGGAGACAATGGAGTTCTACCCTTCTGGGTGTGAAGCTAACACTCCTGAGGTTGCAATGCTGGAAACCAAACCACACTGACGGTGGAAGAAAGGAGTTCATAGTTCTGCATCAAGAAACAAGGAAAGGTCCCCACCCACTCATTTTCACATATGAGTCACTTGATTTGGGACTGTATTTAAAAAGAAAAAAAAAAAAGAAAAGGAAAAAAAGCAGTCTTTTCATGAGCCCCACCCCTGAAGTCTGCAGGCAGGCCCTGTGGACAGGAGAGAGATCAGAGCTGGAGCCTACAATGTAAAGGAAAGGCACTACCAGCCAGTTCAAAGTGTTAAAGCTAGCGCTCTGTCTGCCTGATGCTCCCTTGCCCCCCACCTCCTTCCCCTCAGGCTCTCTTCAAAGATGATTAGTTTTTGTATAAAAAGTCATGCAGAAGGATAAAAGGACTTGCCTCATTAAAGTCAAAGCCAAGGTCTGGATGCGCCGGTGATAGTGTTATTAAAAAAACCCACCCCAAAACCCCAACTTCCAAGCACCCCACAGCACAACGGCTTTGAGGTAAGAGTGCTGGAGGGGGGGTTTATTCTCGGTTCACTCATTTGAACGTTTGGTGGTGCCAGTGTACGAGACACAGACATTGCAAGAGGCGAACAGAAGGACAGAGGGCCATCACAGACACCTGGAAGCACAGGTTACTGTTAACGATTCGATTTCTGACCTGCAGACGCTAGGAAATGAGTGAGGGCAAAGCAGAATTCCTGGATTGGTGCAGGGACATTACCTGCTTTAAGGATTTTACTCAGCCATTACATTTTAAAGGCCGCACCTAATCTCTATTACAATGTTAACGTGTTGCTTTAAAACCCAAAATAATTAAAAAGCATGGTGGGAAACAGTTAATTGATCAAAGCTATGAAACAGCACCTAGTGGTCATTCTTTTAAAAAGTAGCAACAAGATTTAGGCTCTTTCAAGCTTTGCAAAATGTCGTTGTTTGAAAACCAAGGCTTCTTTTCAAATCACCTCCATTTACTTTTGCCAAAAGACGAGGAAGATCTGTATTATTATGTCAGTAAGTCCAAGTAATAATAAAATAATTTGAGTTCTTGCATTCTCACACTCAGTAAACAGTTCTATCACTAAGTGCCAGTAGGTCAACATTCCTAAACATTACATACCTCCGTTAACGTATATGCTTCCTCTGCTGTGCATTCAGCTTTCACTGTAGGGTTACTTAGTGCAAATATTATGGGTCGCTCATTGATAGAGGCCATTGCTTTGATCACATCCTGAGAGAAGAGCCGCCCAGCTCCTGCAACTCCTGAAGTAAATGGAAAACACATAAAAATAGAATCAATACTTGACTGCCTCAGGGCAGATGACAGCAACTGCAGATTAAGTTCATGTCACCCCTGAAATCTCCCACTCAGAGAGAAGCACTGCAGGCTCTTCCAGCAGCGGGAGATGGAAACCAGGTACTGCTCTGTTAGTGGCTGCTTAAAATTCTCATTTTCTCAGGAACATCTAATTAATGTGTTCCAAAAGCCTATTTTACGTGGTTTTTTTTTTATTGATCTGTGTAAAGAACACTGCCCTGGATAGGCAAGTGGGAACTGCGGGTTCTTCACAGATGATTCATCCTAGCTGGGTGTTAAATGTGCAATTCCCTTGATACTGGTATTTCTGACCACACCCAAACACATGGGTACAGATACATAAAAATTATGTACATTTGTACACCAGCTACAAACATCAGGGTAGCCACTCAGCCAAAAACCTTTTCTTTTCCAAATAAATCATGTGCAAAGGAAATTGCAGAGTTGTACCAGGAAATACCTGTAATCCCATCTGGCCTCTGCATTCAGCCACAGTTATAAATCAATACCTACCCATGTCAGTGACCTAACAGGTATTGGTGATCTGCAGTATGAAACAGCTCCTTCAGGCCATGCTGCTGGCAGATTCTGGCCAGAGAAGCTGACTGGGGGGGGAAGGAAGGTCAGGAAAAAACCCAATTACTCAAGTTAGAGACCTCCTGTAAAGCAGAAAATGCTCTGTTTGTGACTGCTGTCTCCCTTGCTGCTGGTGTGGGGAATGTGTCTGGGAAAAAGGTTTTATTTTTTCTTCCTGACTCTCAGTGCCCTTCACGACCATTTCAGTTCATTGTGGCTATGCAGCCCTTGAGAACATGCTCAGAGTTTTCTAAAAAAGGTCCAACACCAGCTGGACAAGGACTAGAGGAAGCAGTTAACGAGGACACAAGATGCAGAAGGAGCACCACAGCTGAGAGCTAATCTGCAGGTCGGTGTATTTTCAAGGAAGAAGTGGACCTCACATTTTCATCTTATTTACACCAGCAGAAATGCAGATCACTGTCACCAACCTCCTTGGAGCCACATCAGCAAATTGAATGCAGCAAATAACCAAGTGATGGAAACACAGAAACAAAAATAACCTTACTTACCAATGATAGCTGAAGGCCGAAGTACATTCACTGCCTCTACAAATGTCTTTGGTATCTGCTCTGGAGCCTGATGCGTAAATGGTTCTTGATTGGAATCTACCTTTTGTTCTCGGCCCTAAAAAATAAATTGGAGAACAAGTCTTATGAGGAGCAGCTGAGGGAACTGGGGTTGTTTAGTCTAGAGAAGAGGCTGAGGGGAGACCTTATTGCTCTCTACAACTGCCTGAAAGGAGGTTGTAGTGAGGTGGGTGTTGGTCCCTTCTCCCAAGTAACAAGTGATAGCACAAGAGGAAATGGCCTCAAGTTGCACCAGGGGAGCTTTCAGTTGGATATTAGAAACAATTTCTTTACTGAAAGAGTGGTCAAGCACTGGAACAGGCTGCCCAGAGAGGTGTTGGAGTCACCATCCCTGGAGGTGTTCAAAAACCGTGTAGTCATGGCACTTTGGGACATGGTTTACTAGGCGTGGTGGTGTTGGGTTGACAGTTGGATTTGCTCTTAAGTGGTCTTTTCCAATCTTAATGATTCTATGAACGTTGATTCTTTTTGTGAGGAGGACATGGAAAGCACTGGCCATCTGTACTGTAGTATTTCAAAGTATGATGTACCCCTACCTGAACCAGTAAACCGTATTTGTCGAACATCCATATCCTCCTGTAGGCTTCCTCAGCAGAAACACCGCTTTCCATCATAGCCATAACAATGAGGTTTGCAATTCCCAGGGCAGCCTTGTGGATAAAAGGACTTTGATTTTTAACAAGTCACCAAAGGGGTCTCTCATCACAAACTGTTCAAGATCCCCACAAAAATCATTTAGCAAGTCAGTGCTGAAACGCAAGCAATGTTCGCCTAAATGGGGCCAGAGTCCTGGGATCAACAGCATCACGTCTTCAGGCAAAAGAGGGGTGGCTCTCCCGGGTACTGTGCCCCCATGCCTGTACCAGTTCAGCAGCCCCAATAAAGCAGCCCAACCAGACAATAAGAACAAGTTAGTGCTGCAGCACTCCTGTCAAGAAACCACAGTGAGGTGTTTTGTGCCCAACAGCTTTCGAAACCCCTCTCTGCTCCTGCTGCCTGTGATAAAGGCTTTGCAGACAGAGGGCAGAAAGTAGATGCTGGCAGTGCTTCCCTCCACGTCCCTTCTCTAGGCTCGCTGCACATGCTGCTAAGTCTGGCAGGAGAAATAAGGTAGAGGGAAGTGCAGAGCAGGGCTCAGTGCTCAGGCAGCAACACAACATCGGACAATTAATGCAATCTGGACCTTCCCCAGCTGGAGAAATTTTCAGCTAATTAAGTTATTTTGTCAGCACCATAGAAGCAATTTTGCTGACATACCAAGCAGCATGGTGCTGGTCCTGACACTGCTGCCCCAGCAACTAACTAGTGTCTGCTGCAAACAGCCGCTGATTTAACTCACTAAGAAAACCACTGTGTACTTCTCTCCAATGCTATAAAAATCGAGACATTCTTACCCCCTTTCTTACTAAACCATAATTTTATGGTAAATTCCCCTTCAACTACACGCAAGTCCCTGATGCTGTCCTCAAGTCTGTGTAAGAAAATGAAAACCGCGAGTCCTTGCAAATGTTAAACACCTTTCAAATAGTCATCTTTAAGCAGGTAGTCCCTCCTGTTCATGTATTTCAGCTGGCCTTATATGTAAGCTCTGCAATGGAATTCAGAGAATGTGACTCTCCACAAGCCCCACAGAACCAGAAAATATACAGTTCAATCTCTTGTTGTGCTAGAGCCCTTAAAAGAACTCACCTCTCCTGCCCCAAGGAACAGCACTTTCTGCTCTGCAAGTGGTTTACCGGTGGCTTTCTGAGCTGCCAGCAGTCCTGCCAAGGCCACTGAAGCTGTCCCTGTAAAAACAGTACAGATCTGAGAAGAGCTGAACAGATCTGCATGGCAGATTATGGTTTTAGGCAAGGTTGTTGCATATACATTAAGGAACATAAACAAAGGGTATACCTTGAATGTCGTCATTGAAGGTACAATATTTCTCTCTGTATTTTCTTAAAAACCGAAAAGCATTGTGGTTTCCAAAGTCTTCAAATTGGATAAGGGTGTTCTGGCCATACCTACAGAACATGGCAAATGTTCCCATCACTAGACACATAAAGAAATAAAATCAACAAGGGCAAGTGTCGAGTGCTGCACCCGGGGAGGTCAAACCCCATGCACCAGTACAGGCTGGGGGCTGACCTGCTGGAAAGCAGCTCTGCCCAGAGGGACCTGGGAGTCCTGGTGGACAACAAGCTGACCATGAACCAGCAATGTGCCCTGGTTGCCAAGAAGGCCAATGGTATCCTGGGGTGTATTAAGAGGAGTGTGGCCAGCAGGGCGAGGGAGGTTCTCCTCCCCCTCTACTCTGCCCTAGTGAGACCCCATCTGGAGTACTGTGTCCAGTTCTGGGCTCCCCAGTTCAAGAAAGATGAGGAACTCCTAGAAAGAGTCCAGAGGAGAGCAACTAGGATGATAAAGGGACTGGAGCACCTCCCCTATGAGGAAAGGCTGAGAGAGCTGGGCTTGTTCAGCCTGGAGAAGAGAAGACTGAGAGGGGACCTCATCAACACGTACAAATATCTTAAGGGTGGAAGTCACGAGGATGGAAGCAGTCTGTTTGCAGTGGTGTCCAGCGACAGGACTAGGGGCAATGGGTGCAAACTGAAACATAAGAGGTTTCAGTTGAATATGAGGAAAAACTTCTTTACTCTAAGGGTGACAGAGCACTGGAACAGGCTGCCCAGGGAGGTTGTGGAGTCTCCTTCTCTGGAGATACTCAAAGCCCGCCTGGATGAAGTCCTGTGTAGAATGCTCTAGGAGAGCCTGCTTTAGCAGGGGGGTTGGACTAGATGATCTCCCGAGGTCCCTTCCAACCCTTGCCATTCTGTGATTCTGTGAAATCCTTCATGCAATCAATCATCTTTGGAAAAAAGATGTCCTCAGGCCTTTCACTCCTTAAAACAGTTCCATCTTCGTTCTGTGCATATTTAACAGATAACTGCAAGCAGCATGTTCCAGGTCACAGAGAAAAATCACTATGGAGTCAGAAATACAGCCACCTCTCTGACTTCTAGTCCTATCCTTATTCCTTAAATGACTGTTTCAAGGACAGTGTGTTATGGGGTTTTTTTGCCAGCAGTTTTGACCATCCTTCCATGCAGAATATTCAATGTCATACCTGTCTGTAATGGCTTCCATAAATTCATCAATTAGGTCATCATAGACCTGCGAGCGATCCCTTTTTTGGTATAGGCCCATATAAAATGGATCTTTTAAGAGTGTCTGAAAAAGAATAAATCAAAGACAGCAGCAGGATGAATCACTTCCTCAGTATACACTTTCCAGAGTTCACGGTAACACATTTCACACCAAAGATACTGCATTTATATAGCCACTGTAACTGCCTCCAGTCTATATCAATGTTCAGTAATTTCAGCTGGCACTTGAGGTTGGTGATGGCTGCTTTGAAAATGGAACAAATCGATACTGTGAACCATAAACTGCTTTAATAAATCTGATTCATGTTTCCAGCTTCTTAAAGTCGGGTCAACCCGACTGTCTATTTTACAGTATTCCAGCATTCAAATTATTTCCAAATGCACCATTTCACTGACAAATGAACTGACATTTTTCAATCACTGATATGGAACTGTATAGCGAATTCCAAATCACCTACCCCTTACGTAAAATATTTGGTTTTATCTTAAATAAAAGTGTTCAAATAAAAATCTTCTCTTACAGTACTAAGGACTCTTAAAGAGATACTTTTCATAGGGATAAATTATGGCAGGCAAAGTTCAGTCAAACTCACTGTATTATCAGTTCCAACGTCGATGCACACAGGCAAGCATTTATCTGGATGTATCCCCGCACAAGCAGTATACAAACACAGTTTTCCTACTGGAATTCCCATCCCATATACACCTAGGTCTCCAAGACCCAATATTCTTTCTCCATCGGTGACGACAACAGCCTGAAAACAAAACCAGGTGAAATTATATATGATCAGTGAAATTTATAAAGTTTAGAGCAATACCAGGTGGTGGTTTTTTTTCCCCAGGCAAAAATTCAGGTATGTGTTTGTACAGTCAACCAAAGAAGAGACTGCAAGGAATATTTTACTTGAAGCAATAATGCTTAGTGTTAGAATCAGCTATTCTCCTTTTTCTTTGCCGAAATCCACTGCCCAAATCCTTGAAAGCTAAGTGGGAAGGCTCCAAGCTGCCACGCGGAACTGCAGCTTGTAACTCAGGTTTATGATTTCCACTTGTAAATCCAGACATCAAAAAGTTTCTGTAAGTATCGTTCACCTCATCTCCCTTTGTGGTTCTCCACCCAGCTGGGTCGTACAGGATTTAATGGAAAAATCTGGGCCTCCCAACTACCGCTTCTGTGTCCTAATTTGAGGACAAGATCACCTCTCCTACTGCTACGTAACACAGTAAGTAAGACCCAGAGGTGCATCTTTCCCCAAAAGGTGGAATAATGAAGTAAAATAAAAAGTTTGGCAACTCTAGTTCTCCTCATCGCTGTTTACTCAAATCATAATCCTCATATTTAGGACAAAACTTTGCTCTTCAAGATAATGCTTTACCTTCATTAGCCTTATTTTGCCATCATTGTCAAACAGCCAAGGATGCATTATTTAGTATTTACATTTCCATTAAATAACAACAAATCTTAAGCAGCTCAACTGAGATTAAATAACAACTAGAACAAAAAAATCATACGGTGGGAATACCTTAACGTCATTCTCTGGCCAGTTGTTCACAATTGACCTTATGTGGCCTCTGTCTGAGATGGAAATAAATAATCCCCTGGAAGAAAAAAAGAAAGCAAGAAGTATTTTATAGGCAGCAATTGGAAATTTCACCCGGCTTTGTAAAACTAAATGTCAAACAGTAGAATTTGCTTAGAATGGAAAGAGCTGCGATCACTGACATAAACCACTCAAAGGACGATTTCTAATACACAAGTCTATTCAGCTACTGTGACACTCTAAAATAAGAACACAGAGAAAATTTTCCTGATGCTACCTGGATTTGACACTACTACAGGTATTCACCTTTAATACTCCTCTAGGGCAAAACAGCTCTGGGGTTAGCATCAGACATGGCAGGATCTATGCTCCCCTGTAAGGGTACGAGAAGGGAACACAATCCTAAGCCTGGCTTTACCTTAGTGAATCTCCATTCACAACATTACACAAGGCAAGGGGAGGGAAAAGGAAGGAAAAAGAAGAACAGGGACTAAGCGTACTGTCTTCTTCAAGACTAGGAGAACAGTGCTTCCCACTGCTGAGTGCTCCTCCGTGGGAACATGGGAGGGGAGGCAAAGGAAGAGAGGTGAAGAGAAGCGCCTGTATTTCTTCTGTTTGAGCAAGCCCTCTGCGGTTAGGAGGAAATGAAGCATGAAAGGCTCAGCAGAGGCGGTAACAGATAAAAGTACCAACACTTGGAACGTGCTGGTTCTTGGAAAGAAAGGGGCACATCCTGAGTTCCAGTCCATGCTGCTGTTTCTTGTACAGACAACTTCTAGAGGGGGACAGTTTTCAGACTGGCCTATAATACATACAGAGACGTGGAAGAGGAAAGGAAGCATGTGAGAACTAAGAGTACATCTTTCACATCCCCTTCCCCAGATGGGGAGCAAACCCATGAGTTTCTTACTGTCTTTATCACAGGAGCCGCCCTACGCAGCCGAGTCCTCACGGCAGCGAAGGATTAGCCCTTCCTCCACGCAGCACTAAAGCCCTCAAGCAAGAGGGCTCTAGAAGTACACTTTGAATTGCAGTGAGAGTATCATGGAAATGAGCTGAAACGACTGCCGGTCCGAGCTGGTCTCCTCAACACAGAGCTAATAACTGGAATGGTTGCTTTGAAGCCACCGCTGAACCCTAACCAGACCCCAGCCAAGTGTATTTACTGTGTCAGAATTAACTGAAAGCTGACCCCTGGTAGCAACTGCTTTAACACAGGGACTATCTGCACCCAACAGAGTCTGCTGAGCTACCGTGAACCGAGCCTTCCTCTCCCTGCTTTGCCAACATCTCTCCTCACACACCGCTCGCTGGCCTCTGCTCCTGCACCCCAGCTCAAAAAAAAACGTGAGAGTCTCTCTGGCACTGGGACCCTTTGCTGCCAGCAGGAACATGTTGGTCACAGCTTCCATTATGCCAGGATGGGGGTTGGCCTGAGCTTCCTCCAGCAAATCTGCTGTAGGGGTGCGCGCGCACTCGCGTTCCTGCCTCCCTGCGCAGGCTGCGTGCAGGGGTGCATTTAATGGTGAGCTACCCCCTTACTGCCCTGAACTGGCACAACTCTTGTATAACTGAGTCCAAACGAAAATCAAGTAAAACACTTCCAAACCTCGGGCAAGTATAGAGAGAAAATGGTAATAAAAGTATTTATTGTTCTTACTTTGGTCGCCTGAAGATGTGTCCATACTGGGAGCAGGCAAGGCCTACTGTTGGTGTGTATACAATCGGCATTAACCGTTCAATATCATCTTGTAATACCCTATAGAATAATTTTTCATTTCTCTCTTGGATTCCCATTATGTAGATATACCTGGAAAAACAAAACAAAACAAAAACCTCACTTGTTTCACATCTATGCTTATTTAAAATAATGTAAAAGAAGGTCAAAGCAAACCCCAAACTTGCTTCATATTATTTCTACATGAAATGCCTGCTTCCACTCAAATTGTGCCTTAAGCACTAAATGAAAGTTGGAAAAGAGAAAGTAGCAGCACTAAAAAGCTGAAATAAAACTACTGGATATGACATAACCATGCATGCTGACAACTTAATGCACAAACATGCATTGCGATAGCAGATAATCCATGGATTTATTACAGGATGCAGCTGTGAGTCTCATTACTGTTTAAAAAAAAAAAAAAAATCAGTGAAAGGATTTTTCATCCCAAAAAAGTAAGGTCCTGACAGTAAAGTCTTGGTAATTCTAACACGAACACAGTTGTAAAACAAATTAACTCCTAACAAAAAGTTCATTTTGAAGGACTTACCTAGGTGTGTAAATTAAACCTGTCTTTTTGCAAAGTTACCTACCAATCTACTGCATATTAATTCATATTCAGTCTCGCTGACCCGACGACACGAAGATAATGAATTAGCGATTTGTCTTAGGCTACAACAACTGGGCGCTTTGCCAATACAGACAACACGACCATTTCAGATCAGCAAGTGACATAATGTGGATTTAAAAGTCATCTTTCGGTTTTCATGAGAACAAAAGGGTTTTGATGTGGCCCAGTAAGCCTCAAACCATTCCAGTGCTCCTCTCGACTTTAGGAGACTGCATATTTTCACAGGTAGATACACACAGGATGATACGAAAATAGTAACAGGATGCTAAAAACATGCCATTCTAAAGAAAAAAAAAAAGAAATCAAATAAAAATCCTTCACTAGTGTTTTTTCCCCAAACCAGTGGGTTAAAAAAACAAAAAAGATTGGTATTAAAAAATTACCCATTATGACACTGAAAATTCTAACCCTGTAATTCCTTTCTAGCAGTAACTAATGTGTATGATAAACACTGTTTTTCATACTTAATTATCAAACCCTCAATTTAGCTTCACTCTCGCATATTTTTCTAGCATGCACCAACTGCCCCCTTTCCCCCCTCCAATACCTCTGTGCTCTAACAACCTGCCACCCAAATCGTATGTATTACAGAAATACATATTTACCACAAGGTTTGCAGCTTTGTTAGTGGCTAATTTGTGCACATTCTTTTTCCTTACCTTAGGACTACAGAATATAAGAGAGAAAGCTCCCCGACCTCATTTAGCCACGTGATGAAGGCATGATTGATGAAAGCAGTTTTCTGTGTAAAAGGGAAAATAGCCTCCAACAACTGAAAAACCCAGTGGAGGCACAGAAAACTTGTTTGGTTATCCTCATGAAATATTTTACAGCAATTTCCATTTACTTGCAGGACAAAACAAGGCCAGAGGAGTGCTTACTTTTCCAAGGGGTCAGTCATTTTTGCCAAATTCTTATGGAAGCGTAAGGCTTGAATGTCTTGCGTCTCTATTTTAGGAGGTAGAAGTCCTTGCAACCCAAGCATCTGTCGTTCGTGTAAGGTAAAGGCCATGCCCTGAAAACAAGAGGGGTGAGAAATAATTAGCAGTTCTTCCTCTAGCATTTCTATTTATAATGTCTTCCTATTTGCTGTTTCAGACTATCCACTGCTTCTTTTTCTCCTGGCAAGTGCCACAGAAGGCAAGGTTTGGATATAGTTGCCTCTGCTGGGGTTCTCCTCATCCTTTGTGGGTATCCTTTTTGACCATAGCTTTTCCACATCTCTGAGCCTTTGTGCCCTTTGCCAGATTTCATTTTCGTCTGTGAAACCGGAAAACAGCTAAGAGATCCCGCTGCAGACAGGCTAAGGTCTAAAAGGAAAATAACAGCTGCTTCTCAAATTGTTTCATAGGAACATAAGGTTGACAGGAACACGTGGGTCACCTCCTCTGGTCCCTACAACCACAGATAGCAACATTTAGTCCAGAGAGCTTTCTCTGAATTGCTCCATTTCCTGCTTTTTTCCCCCACGTATTTTTATTAATCCAGCCAGATCCCAAAGTTACTGAACTGCCCTAATACTGAGATCACGACTCAATCCAAATCCTTCATTTTTACAGAGGGCTAGAACGAATCTATTCTTCTTCAACTGAAGTTGTCTAGTATCGCAAAAGCCTCATTTGTAACAAATTCAGTTTCAGAAGAGTTGAACCACAAAAATAGCCCAGCATTTCCATTCTTCTCTGTTCCCAGGTGGATGAAGAGTTTAATTTATTGTTATGGAAATACTAATTTGAATTATTTAACAAGAACATTCAATAAAACTTGGCTTTTCACTCAGTACACCCCGCTGTGAGCTACCTGCTAGCAGAGACATCTTCACAGGGTAGCTAACTCGAGGCGTAACATTGCAAAAACGTTAACTGATCCCAGTCTGGATTCACAGCCAAGCCGGCTCAAAGCGCTGACCCCGTTTCCGACAACTGACCCCGCTTTAAGTTTGCCACTTCCAAACCAGCAATGATAAACTTTCCTTATTTCAGTTTATCCGACAGGGTCAGTTCAGTGACTGATTAAGTCAATACTTGTGAACACAGGAGCTGAAAGCCCTGGAAAGCTTTTGCTGTGCATTAATCTGTGAGCAAAAGCAGAATCTGAAAGGGAAAGGTCCGCTCGCTGCAGTATTTCGAGAGGGAGACAAAAAACATCGGTTCTGTTCACAAACAACGCTTGCTTTGATTACAAAAGCAGCTAGATTAAAAAAAACAAGGGCACACTTTCTCAAATTTCTCCACGCTGGAAGCAGATTCTTACTGCCAAGTTAAAAAGAAAAAAAAAAAGGTTTAAAAAGCTTCCTAAGGTTTGTTTTGTGCCTTGTGATAACACTCCAAATTCCTCCTGCAACCAGAAAAATCACAAGAAAAAAATGAGTATTTTTCCACTTTAGAATAAAAGGCATAAATTCAGATTAGAATATATGTATTTCATCTCTGCTTAGGTCTGAATAGGCTTTCACAGGTATTTGGAGAAAGCACGCCCATTAATACAAAAATCTCTAATTTAGATTCTATACTTGAGTGTAATTCCTCACCTGAGTGGTTTATAACGAATATAGCTTCCTCCTTTAGGAAAAAACCACAATTAAAATAATTAATAGCTTTACATATTTTTTCCCTTTGCTTATTTAAATCACATATCAGTTGTTTTGACTATACTGATTTAGGTAGCCCACCTGCTTTTCTGAACTAATTCTACACTAGATTCTAAAGTAATAAAATATTTGAAGAGGTAGAAAGGAAGAAAACAAGAACAAACCCAAAAAACTTCAGCGTTTTGCAAAAAAACCACTTGCAAATACTTTCTTGCAAAAAACTGTATTTAACCCTAGACCAGATCAACGCTTTGGTTTTCTGACAACCTTCCATGTAGTAGATTTGACATTAAATACTGAACTCAATTTATCCTTTTTCTCCTATCTGCGAGTCATTTGCAAACCGTTGTTTTCTTTCCTCATGTAACTTATTCTCCAGTGTTCTTCACAGCATCCCAGCATGGCAAGGGTTGGAAGGGACCTCAGGAGCTCACCCAGTGCCACCCCCCTGCCCAGGCAGGCTCAACCAGAACAGGGGGCACAGGACAGCGTCCAGGCGGGGGTTGAAGATCTCCAGAGAAGGAGACTCCACAGCCCCCCTGGGCAGCCTGGGCCAGGGCTTGGGCACCCTCAAAGTCAAGAAGTTCTTCCTCACATCCAACTGGAACCTCTTCTGCTTCAGTTTGTGCCCATTGCCCCTTGTCCTGTTGCTGGGCACCACTGCGAAGAGTCTGGCTCTGTCCTCGTGACCCCCACCCTTGAGATATTTGTACGTGTTGATGAGATCCCCTCTCAGCCTTCTCTTCTCCAGGCTGAACAAGCCCAGCTCCCTCAGCCTTTCCTCCTAGGGGAGATGCTCCACCTCAGCCTTTCTTCGTAGGGGAGACGCTCCAGTCCCTTTATCATCCTTGTTGCCCTCCTCTGGACTCTCTCCAGGAGTTCCTCATCTTTCTTGAACTGGGGAGCCCAGAACTGGACCCAGTGCTCCAGGTGGGGTCTCCCCAGGGCAGAGTAGAGGGGGAGGAGAACCTCCCTCGCCCTGCTGGCCACGCTCCTCTTCATGCACCCCAGGATACCATGGGTCCAAAAGTGCCTGTCAGTAAATTTCAGATGACTGCTTATTCCTGAACTTTTTTTACCCTTGCTGCTGGTCTTTTGCTGGGTGTAACAGTCACTTTAGGTCATTTTTCTGAAAACCAATTCAACTAAACCAAAACTTCCACTGAGAACGCAACCATGCAAAAGCAGCACTGGCATGAGAAAAAAAAAACCACGAGGAACACACACTGAACGCCATATTTTATTTTTTTTTTCCTATATTGCAAAGGCTCTACTTTAGTTTCACTTCTGCATACTTCACAAGAAATACTGAAAGATTCTCTGGGAATGCATCTGCCCAAGTTGCATGGAAGCGAACCACGCAAATGCGCATCTCCGCTATCTTCCCCTTTTCCTTATCTAGCCCCTAATTTGTTACCATCAGCAGTTTATGTCTTTTTAAAACAAATGTTTCTCAACACAAACTGTTCTTGCAGTACAAGGGATTTAGGATACAAAGCTGAGGACAGCTGATAAACATCAGTAATATTTTGACTGTTACTTTAGGCACTACAAAAACAAAAATGATGCCAACATTTTTACCATATTAAGAAGGGGAAAAAAGAAAAAGCTTAGCCTCTTTTCAAAGATATATAAACACGGGTCAGTAAAGCCACTAATGTCACCAGTTTAAGGCATGTCAAAGGCTGGAATCTCTTCAGTGGTACCATACTGGCTACACCAACATTTTATTCTAAACCAGCTGAAATACCTCACTAGCCAAACCTACGTCCTGGCCATCAGAAACTCTCAAGTCCCTTAAAAATAAAGTCCACCTAATGTCTAATTTCCACTATTAACCTGACACTGGGATATGGCTTTTCCTTAATTTCCTTGTACAGTGAAACCAGTGACCTTAAATTGCCTGGGTCCTTAATAATATCAAATGAGCCCTGAGCAGAACAGCTACCCATCTTTATTCAGTTTATTCGCATTTTTTCCAGTCTATAGGCGACCTGGTTTTTCAGTGTATCTGGAGTTACAATAACATTAAAGACAGGGAATTCTTTAAGTGGTACTAAGTACTTCCAGCTGTTTATTTATGTGACAATTAGCTCTTACCACATTAAAATGTGCTTTAATTTTTGCCCAGACCTAGCTCAGGAACCTGAATGCCATCAGCCTCCATACAGAAATTTAATCCTTGTTCCAACTATAACAGAACAAGTTTAGTCCAGAGCAGCTCTATAAAAAACCCAGAGCCCTTCCAACACTTGCTGTAGTCCCATTCATTATCTTTGTCCATGACCGTCAGCTGCCTCTCATTTTGGATTTGGGATGGTGCCTTGTTTCTCATACAGCCCCTTGCAGGACAGAGATTTTCCTTAAATTAGTGCGCCTAGGAGCTGCAATATTACAAATTTCCTAGCCTTTCCCCTCATTTTATAAACCCCAGCACAGTTTGACAGAACCAGTGATCAGTTCCCAGTGAATGAGGAATCACAGAATGGCAAGGGTTGGAAGGGACTTCGGGAGATCATCCAGTCCCACCCCCCTGCTAAAGCAGGCTCTCCTAGAGCATTCTACACAGGACTTCATCCAGGTAGGCTTTGAATATCTCCAGAGAAGGAGACTCCACAACCTCCCTGGGCAGCCTGTTCCAGTGCTCTGTCACCCTTAGAGTAAAGAAGTTTTTCCTCATATTCAACTGAAACCTCTTATGTTTCAGTTTGCACCCATTGCCCCTAGTCCTGTCGCTGGACACCACTGCAAACAGACTGCTTCCATCCTCGTGACTTCCGCCCTTAAGATATTTGTACGTGTTGATAAGGTCCCCTCTCAGTCTTCTCTTCTTCAGGCTGAACAAGCCCAGCTCTCTCAGCCTTTCCTCGTAGGGGAGGTGCTCCAGTCCCTTTATCATCCTAGTTGCCCTCCTCTGGACTCTTTCTAGGAGTTCCTCATCTTTCTTGAACCGGCGAGCCCAGAACTGGACACAGTACTCCAGGTGGGGTCTCACCAGGGCAGAGCAGAGGGGGAGGAGAACCTCCCTCGACCTGCTGGCCACACTCCTCTTAATACACCCCAGGATGCCATTGGCCTTCTTGGCAACAAGGGCACATTGCTGGCTCATGGTCAGCTTGTCGTCCACCAGGACTCCCAGCAATTTGCAGCACTGGGATTGATGTTCTCAAAGGCACCTAAGAGCCCTGCACCTACCTAAGGGCCAAATTCCCCCTGGTTTCCACTGGGATTAAATGCCCAAATACCGTAATGATTTGGGCTTAAGTCACAGGCATCACTTTTTGGTTTCCTTTGCCCTACAGTGCTAGGTGTCCTTTCTCTGAGTGTTATCCACTGACTTTCACTTGGATTAGTTTCCTTAATCCTCTTTACAGCTCAGAAAAAAAACAGGCGTCCTTTCTAAGATAGTACAGACAAAGCAGGGA